TATGTTTGTTTCAATACAATGTTGTCACACTGGGTTTGTTGTCTTAACAGTGCACTATTCTAAAATGTGCTTTCTTGTAGTAATTACTTTATTTGTCACTCTCCAGCCTAACAACGTTTGTCCCATTACAGAACACGAGTCTCTACATAGTTTTCACGCTTCTGCAGTGGTTGTGATCTCTCAGTGGGATGTAGGTCAGATAGTCAGGGTAGTTGGGTAGTTCGTGAAATGTCTAACTCGACCACTGTTGATCGGATTACCTACTGCACGATGTACTCTTTACGTAACTTGACCACGGCATTATGGAACAATCCAGAGAACTATTTGTTCAACAAGATTTGGAAACTTTGTTTGGGCGAAATCCTGAATTTATTTAATGCATGGTTGACTTGTGGGTACGTGAGATAGCCATCATGCATGACTTTAACCTGTATATTGTTTAACATCTTAACACCCATACTGTAAACTTTGACTATTAAGTCATGTAAATTGTCACAACTGCGTTTCTCCATAGAAAATAAATTAGAGATTATTGTGTGCTGATTTTTACTTACATTAGGAAATCCAGTATAAAGTTCTAAATTTAAAGAATAGTGTAGGTATTCTGGCAACCGCTAGAGAAGTGGTTGAAGATGAAGAATCTCATGTATAAGGAAATATTTAATTGATTGTGGGAAACTATACCTTGTATCAAAAACAATTTTGCTTCAAAATGGTACAATGCACGATAATTTTAACATTTCCCTTAATTTCGTATACTTTCGATTGACTTTTTCTGCCTGGCACCTCTGCACACACCAGAGATGAAGTCATAATCCCCTGTAGGCGGGTGGAAGCAGTAAATTGGCTCGATAAGCAGCCCGGCTACAGCAACAGCCGGTAATGTATACAAGGGTATATTGCTCTCTCGACCACCGTAGTGTTTATATCTTGGCACACCTCCAAGACTGCAGTCCACAGCTCACAACACGGTGGCCGATACTGACACAGAGTACAGGGTGTCCCAGAAACTACTTTACAGCTTTGTCAGTTTGTAACTTAAATAGGCTCTCGTCTGACATTTGACTTTTGGAAACTGAAGTAGTGGACATCTATTTGGACCATCCCCAGCTGTAGGAATACCAAATTATATTTTCTCCACTATGATAGTTCATATGACATAAAAGATGCTATCGTTTAAAATAAGTCGTTCCCTTTCAGTTCGGCTTGGTAGAAAAGTTGGTGTGTACTAAAGAAACCACCGAAACCGTGGCCACCTTGAAGGGTTTTGTGATAGTTTATAGAAACATCAAATAGGCTACAGTGTCAACCTTAGAGTTTGGTTGTTATATTAACCTGTGGATACTAGAGTAAAGATCCCATCTATTTGGACCAGCTACGGTCACATTTTCGTTTAAATGTAACATTTTTAATAACCTCAATCACTTTCGATAGTGTGATACATTTTTGGGACGTAAAAGGTGCTATAGTTGAAAGCGAGTTTTTCCTTTCAGTTTAACGAGATTGAAAGGCTAACGCAGCCGAAATAGGCACTGTAATTGAAAGCAGACGCTCACCAACGTCGCTCATTTTCATTTGAATTCCTGCTTAAAATATTTAACTATGAATGTGTCTATTGATTCCCCTTCATTGTTATAATATTTAACATAGAATTGGGGATTTGACTTATTTTCTAACTATTGCATTCGTTATGTGTAGTCGTAATATATAGGCCTATTACCAAAGATATTGAATTTGTTTCAGGGATTTCAATTTTAACTAAGGATATGTATTTTCACCAAAAATCGCATAAACTACCAACACAACAGGCAGCGATCTAGCATTGTGCCAAACATTGACGACAATATTGTTAGTGACAAATACGATCGGTTTGGCGACCTTCCAAACTAGCCGAGGCTTGACAGTTGGCGAGCTAAAGCCAACAAACCCAACAAAGCACTGTCCACTTACACTTTACCTCTGCCACTCTGCAGTTCAAAGTCCGCACAGTTTTAGCTCAGTTTGCTAACTCTGCCATCTCGAGTGCTTTGAACAGACTGCCAAGAAGATAATTATTGGGGTTTATGTTACTATGTGTAATTCATTTGTTCTGGACGATTACTACCTGCCATGCGTCTCATGAGATCAAAAGATGAAAGTGGATTCGAGATCGTCCGAGTCTTAACATGTTGACCGTCTCATCATTTGTTGGGATGAAACAAAAAGTGTGTGTGGTTTGATACATTGTCGGTTTGGTATACAGTAAAGCACCGGTTATCCGAATTCTATGATTCAAGAGGTAAAAGGGCTTCCGAATGCGTTCGGCATACGTCCCGATTCGTGGAAAATCGGCTTATCACCACTTAAAAATTGCCTTGTAGCTAAAAACAGATCTGATAAATGTTTTGGTGGTATTTACACGCTATTCTTGCAATAACGGTCATAGTAATTCGGAATTTTTGTAATTTAGCAATGCCCAAAATGAGCTGTAATTTTACTATACCGTACTTTTAAACTGTCCTTGCACGCTGTTTAGTAGGCATTAAGATGTTAAATTTAATTATACTGTAGTTTAATGTTGATTCATATTTCTGTGTGTGTTTTTATGCCTGTGGTATTTTTAAAAGTTTTTAAAAGGTACAGTCCATAACCTCTACTATTTTACGCCGACCAGGTCGCCCATTTGTTAGACTGTTTCGTTAATTAATTATAACCCAATGATAATGACATCTGGACCCAGAAACCTGCTTGGGAGTATTTGGGGGGAAATACTAAGTAAACAAAATGAATTATTAACAACTAGGGTTCTACAGCTATTTTAAGTCATATTCATATAGTTTTAATCATGCATATTCATCATAGTTATGCAAAATATGCACAATGTCGTGACTAAAACGCTATTAGTTAAGAGCTGTATTTACTACAACATAAGCTTAAGCTATCCTGTTGACCGTCTTTAAGCACTGTGCAATTAGAGCAACTTAAAAGTTGCAGGTAAATCGGCTATTATGCAAACAACTCGACTCTGTTACACCACGTCCATGCAGCCGTCCACGTTAACCGTTTACGATTAACGTTAACGCCGGATTAATCCATTAACGGTTAATGGCTCCGGTCCTTGTACCTTGATACCCCGCTGCGGTGAAGTGTCCACCGGCCTGACGCGGCGTTTCGCTTAGTTTAATGAGCCAAATAATGGACTACAGCACGCGAACCTGGTTTGGAAATTTGGAACCTGCTTTTTACCGGATTTTTGGGCCGGCGTAAAAGTACCGTTTTGTAACGTTTTAAAAGTGGATGCTGTGAAGTCGAATAATTAGACCAGATGACTAAACTGTTTCTGGACTGGACGTTTGCAGTTGTTCATAGGATTACTTGGGGAATTATATTTGTGTTTTATACACAATCGGAATGTTTACTAAGAGAATGGTCCTTACCCCGGACTTGTTGGTCCATCTCGACATTTTAATTGGGTTGCATCATTAATTAGTAGCCTAGTGACAAATTATATTTTGGTCAAGAAATGATGACTGGGACGGGTGGCGTCGTCCTGTAATCCAGCTACTGGGAGGTCACGAATTGTGGATATTTATAGGCATGCACTGTGGATGCGATGCTCCCTGGTGAGGATTAACGTCCGCACTAGTGAGTACTACAACTATCCGCAGTACTATCCTGATAATTAGACCAATTCGTTAATTACAAGGAAAAATGTGGTTCGGATTCCACTATAAAACTGTAGGTCCCTTAGTTGCCATTAGCAGTATGGGCTATTAATTAACAGCTGTGTCTAAGGAATATGTCGGCCTTAATCACTAACAAGACTACAAGAGATCGCGCCACTCATCCTACACTCATCCTTCACTCATATTTGGGTTAAAATACGCACATAGTAGCGTCCCCATCTTAAATAATTGATTGATTGATTGATTGATCCCTCTCAGAATCGAATTACCGCCTTAAGATTTGAAGACTAGAAATATAACCAATCCTTGAGAATTTACAGTTTTCCATAACTTATTACGCAGAGTTTTATTTCTTAAAAAGCAGTTCCTTTCACCTTTTTTCAAGATTCCCGATGTTGTAAAAATTCAGTCTGACAGTTACGTAAAATACCTGCAATAATATTTTTAACAAAAAAACTCAACTTAGCAACAATGAACTTAATACAAACTGTAAAAAATAACACCTTGATGATGAGATAACTTCAACCATGAGATTAATTCTTGTGTAAAACACAAGGTTACATTTTATAGTTACAATGACCTTTTAGGTACGTAAAAATTGTAATAACGAATATCGTCGCGTGCCACACCACTTTACTGATCACGATTAAGCCAGATCTTTCATGTAGATAGTATTTTCAATAAAAAACACTAAATGGTAACACAATGATGTTAAGTTACTTTTACTCACCATGAAAGTTCGTAGGACCTGGAATAGATGCTTGTTGTTAATTTAATCATGCCATGGTATAAAATAGTTTTCACATTTACAAAGTTTTCGCTTGTTTAAGTGTAGGAATTTTGTACGGTTTAAAGTAAACAAAATAATTATGAATTATGTTTGTGAATCCTGCCACCATAGGGTGGGGTGGGGGCGGCTTTGGTCTTTAGAAAATGCAGACATTTTAAAAGTTAAGATTTTTTTCCTTAAACACGTCATCTATTAAACTTCTAAAATACTCATCCACGCTTGAGCAGCCATCCTGTGTTCATCAGACTTATTTTTAAGTACATCCCTCATTATTTGATTTTTGTATCTTCTTAAGACTGAACAGAATGACCTGTTTCTTGCTTAGAGTGCTGTACCTCGGTGAGGTTTTTATTTTGTGATTTTTCAGTTGTTGCTGGCTTTGTGTATCAATCTAATTATGTTTTTGACACTTTCTCACCTGAGGACCAGATTCTAGGAACGTTTTGAAAACTTTGTGCATAGAAAGTCCGCAATTATCCATCAAATAACATCTACTTCTGTTTGTTCCAACTACAGTATATTGACGTCTACATGTATTGTTGCAGGTGATATACTGACGGGAGTGTGCTACGTTGGTCTGTGGAACGTAGAAACTCTCCGCAGCTTCGTGTTAGCCCCTCTGCTGGTCTATCTCGCCCTAGGGACAGTGTTTCTACTGGCAGGCTTCGTCTCTCTGTTCCGCATCCGTACAGTCATGAAACACGATGGCACCAAGACTGACAAGCTAGAGAAGCTCATGATTCGCATCGGAGTGTTCTCCGTTCTCTATACGGTAAGTGTTTGGATAAATTACCTGTTCTTTTAAAATAAGTGTCTGTGGGCAAAGATTTTTAAACTAAGCACTCTCTATGATTGGCTCTTTTAAGGCATGTCGCACACTGAGTCCTCTCAGTTCAGTCGGTTCCGCAAGTTTCGAAAACTATGTATTCAAATGTAGAGCCGCACACTGGGTCCGTTCCGTCAGTTCAGTTCAGTCCGCTCCGTCCGTCTCAGCCACTTTTTGGTTAGCGAGCGATTTGGACGGACAAGACGGAAGAACTGGAGGCGGCATGCATGTGCAGAGTACATCAGCCAGTGTTATTCAACTGAATTTGGGTGGTCTGACACATATTTGTAGTAGGCCTACTTTGATTTTTTAATTAAAGATGAGTTCCAATGAACGACTTATTTCTGTTGTACAAACGTATCCATTGTTGTACGACCTGTCACACAAGGATTACTACAATGTTACAATGACGGAGGTGATCATCCTCTTCTGCAGCTAGTGCCAATGCTATATCAGCAATTTATTTGTCACTACTGCTGGAACTCATAATCGCACTAACGGAAACCCCGGCACAAATTTATAATTTACTTGCGAACAATGACAGCGTCTTTTGTCCACTGGCGTTTGGCGCTCAAAAACAACCGAACTGACGCAGTGTGTGGGAAAACTGCCTGAACTAAGCTGACTGACCTGAGCAGAGCTGAGCCGCGACTGGTATGTTTTCTGTGACTGAACTGAGCGGACCCAGTGTGCGACGTGCCTAATATGTTCCTATACAAATTTGCTACACCTGGTCCATGTAGAAAGGGGTCTCTTATGTATCCAAAAGTAGGATAATATCCCCTGATATCTGTGAATAATGCCATACAATTTTACTATTTGGTGAAGCTCACCATAGTTTTGATAAGTATGGTATTATTATAGGATTTTATTTAGAAGTACAGTGACTTTTACCTGTTGGGATTAAAGCTAAGAACTAAGTTTATACAGAAGAATTGTTTATTATGTCCAAGAAACCTGGATCTGCAGTCAAATTCATTTTTTTATAAAGTCCAGGATCTTTACAACATTGATAGATTTAAATTTTTTTTTAACATTTAACCTACTTAAACACGATTTTGGTATGATTACTTATCCAAACTCTTCAAGTTTCATTCCATTTCTAAGTGTTTAAGTTCCTTCTATTTGCTAAATAGGTGCAATATAAGTCTCAGCAAAACAATGTTTTGAAAAACTAAAGCGCTGGTCTAAAACATTCATGATGAGTTATGACTCATAGGGATACATCTCTATTTTTTCTTTAAGTCTTCCAAATGTATTTCCTTTTTATGGTTTAGTGAAGAAAACCGTCATATCCCTGGCAAACATTTGTAATAGAACAATGCAAATTTAATCCTAGGGCTTAATAATCCTATAGGTACTACCGTATATATGGGAAATCAAGTGTTTTGAAGAGTTCTCACATCCCCATTTAAACCCATATTGGACCTAAAAAGGATGAATATTTTTCATTGTGTATTGTGTATTTTCATACCGACACCTTGTCTCTAAGTAAATGGTTACTAGACTTGCATCATAAAAATCAAATTTGGAAACGTTTTGCATTGCACCCCCAACAAAAGCCATATTTGACATTGGAAAGGGTGAAGATTTGAAGCATATTGGTATTTAATACCAAACCACATCAGTAGGTTAAATGGCTAGACCCAAGTAAAATACAATATAATGTGTGTTTTCCAGGTACCCGCACTCATCGTGGTAGCCTGTCTGTTCTACGAGCAAGGCTACTTCGACCACTGGATGGTGACTTGGCACATGGACATGTGTTCTCGCCACAACTCCTACAGCATCCCCTGTCCTCTGAACCGCGAGGTCGGCAGAAAGCCAGACTTTGAAGTTTTCATGATCAAATACCTCATGTGCCTCATCGTAGGCATCACATCTTCCTTCTGGATCTGGAGTGGGAAGACGTTCAACAGCTGGAAGGAGTTCTTCCACAGGGTGCGAGGACGTCGAGTGGAGGCGTACGTATAATGTACATATGCGAAACTTGTATATTTGTAACTATGATTTAATGTAAGAATGACCCGATATTTGTATATTTTGCGAGTCTTGTTCAAAGAAAACTTTATGAATGAGGATGATTTTGAGGGAGTGTAAAGTAGCTTATTTAAACAATCTAAATTTGTACTTTAATTTCAACGGATTTGAAATTAAATCAAAACTAAAATTCCTGTGTTCCTAGTTGTAGCTAACCTAATTCAGAACACATGGATCTAGGTGTTATTTTTGATTTGTTTCCAGTTTCAATTAAAACTCCTTAAATTATCTAGAAATTAATCTTTAGGATTGTTGCAGAAGGGGTAGTTTATGAGTTATTTTAATAACGTTTAAAATTTATGTTTACTAGGTAACTATGCTCCCTTAGTATTGGAAGTAATTAATGAATTAAATGGGTGTAAAAAGTGTAAATGTCTTTTGTAAATCTTTCTCCATGATGACATATGTTAGTTTTCTTTGATCAAGACTCAACAGTGCAACTATTTATCATTGCTTGAGCATTGAATTGATTCAATATCTTTTACCACCTGAAATATTTTACATGTTACAGTACCATATTATTTGAGTAGTAACATTTTTGTATTTGGTCCTAATAATAACATCAAAATATTAACAAAAAAATACTATAAAGTTTTTTTACAAAAAAATATTTAACTACTTAGCTTTGTCTGTACAATGCAATTAATCGATTCAAATTTATGTTTTGACTATTAAAAAGAAATAGCATAAATACATAATATGTAGGGTTAAAATTTATATATTTTGAATATAGGACTTATCATTGAAACGTGTGTTAATCTAGCAATATTATTTAGAAATGTTGCTAAATAAACATCCCATTGAATAGCGGTAAAATATGTTGAATCAAACATTGTAATATAAAAATCAAAATGCAGCTCAAACAAATATTTAGTTAGTGTTGTTTTTAAGTTGTACACATTTTTACTAGTCCAACGTTTTGTGTTTGTAATTTAGTTTTGAGGTTCGATATAATGACACCAATTGATGACACAATATTTAAAAATATTGACAAAACTGTTATTGTATATTGTTTATTGTAATTTTGTAAGTTGTTATTGCGATTTTTGCATTTATCCTTGTTGTTACAAGTAGTATGAATAGAGTAGATGTATTATAAGTAGAGGTTTAAGCCTCATAATCACCTCTTGGTTAAAATAAATAATTTATTTGCAAAATGGAATACGCTTTTATTTATAAAGTTTTGTTTTCAACATTTGACACACCATAACAAGTTTGTTGTTATACAATTTGTTGTGTTGTTAACTTCTCTTTAATTTTTCAAACTTGCTGTCTTCAATGTTTTGCTGTCCTTCGCTGTTTATTCTATGTCTCATAAATGTTATCTGTCTCAGTGTTTTTGTTTCAAATATTTATACAATTTGTTGAACTACTGTCAATTTCTGCGGTGCTAAAAAGTTCCATTTTGTAATGATCAACTTAAAAGTATATTTTGGCTTTGAATCTTGTATTTAAATTATTCAAATATGTATTTTTCATTCTGCTTGTTTGTTTACTACCTTACGCTAAGATTAAAGTAAAGTTTGTAAACCTTGCTTTGCCATTCCTAATGGAAAGTAATTATTAAAATAAGACCATCACATTTTTTACTTTTGCTAAGAACTTTTCATTTTAAAAATGAATACTGTAATAAATATATTATTGGGAGATGCATTCAACTTTATGTCATTGTAAAATAGTTGAATTTAGACCAGCTTTTGATATTTCGTCATCATATCATTTTTCTACTAGATTTATTTAAAAAAAACCGTTTGAACTTGAAAGAATGTAACTCTTATCCCTCTACACTATGTGTACTCTTCCCCGAACACGAGTTTTCACATTTATGTAGACAGCTTTTACTAATTATTCAATAGAATTAAATACTGGCAACATAGTATTAGAACTTGGCCATCATTGTGGTTTAAAATTCTAACCAGTTATAAATAAAACAGTACATTTTTAAAGTTGACCATTGATTTTTTAAATGGCTCTTTTGGTTGATCTGTATTGTTTCTTTTTATACAATTAGTGCTGGTAACATAAAAATGTTTTGCTTTAACTACTTGTAGGGATAATATTTCTATTTTTGAAATCAAATAACTTAATAGATGATCCAACAATTGCTTGTATAATATCAACAAATACATCACAGATGACAATTTTTTTAAAGAAAATTGTTATGCACAATAAACACACATCAATGTAGCCTCCAATTATCAATTTGACCAGGCACAAAACATATCCCTTGTAACATTGTATCATATCTGTTTTTTTTTTCTCTCAGAGGAGCCAAAATTCTTTTTGTTCACCCTGCTAGAAAAAAAATAAAGTTCAACTCTGGGGTTCTTGCATGTTATGTTTTTCTGCCAATCATCCTGTTCGAAAACTATTTATGGCTTGCAACACCGATCAATATTTTAAAGAATATAAAAATATTGTCCACACTATCGAACACAGGGGTATCTTCCATTGGAGAGTCGTGTTAATTCGTTTTTATATTGTTGCCTTTCTGAATAAAACATGGAAATAAATAAAATTCATTGACCGTGATTTCTAACATGGAAACTATATCATTAGCAAGTTTCATTCAACATAACTGCACTCAAGGTGTTAATATTAAAAAATAAAACCAGGTACAGATGTTATATCAATAATTTAATCACCCTCAGGTATATGACAATGTTGTTAGACAACTGTATTAACTCTATTCATGCCTGTTATAAACTACAATGATGACGAGGGAATGGAGGAGAGTAGAGGAAGGATTATGGAAGGAGAGAGAGAGGGAGAGAGAGAGAGAGAGAGAGAGAGAGAGAGAGAGAGAGGTCATTGCACTTATGGAGAATATGTTTCTACCGCCTACAGATTTACTCTCTTTGTCTCTCTCGTTTGGTTCCTCCATTTCTCTCTCACACAAGTCGTTCTTCATCTTAATATCTACGACTCCCTCGGATAGATATGTTAGCTATTAACTCTCTAGACAGAATCATCTTGATTTACACCTGTGTAAATTCTATGCAGGAATTAATGGTAATAGCCTCCCTGTGAAATGTAATAGTGATAGTCAATATCATACTTTATTGACGATAGGGTTCTTATTTGCTACCATTACACGAATTTTCGCCAATCCCTAAACCTTGCTCTAAGATTTTTTAGTAAACTTATTCTGCTAGTAAACTTATTATTGAATAGTAAAAATTTACTACTGTAGGAATTCATTATTATTTAGTTCAATGCTATGTCAATTTGATATTGATTGGCAATTGGAAGATTTGTGATTTCGTTTTTGCAAAAACAAAATGTATTTGATGCTTTAAAATTCATTCATGAATGAATGCAATTTACACAATTTGTCTAGGTACTAAAAAAAGTTTGTTCATTACATATCTTTTGTCTTGTTGATCGAATATGTTCAATATATATTTTAGTATATGTATATAAGACTGATTTCTTATTGTATGTACATTGTTTATTTTTATCAGAAACATCACTTTTGAAATTCACTTATTTTTTAAGACGTTAGTTTATCTAAATGTCACACAGAAATTCGATTTTACTCGAAATAAACGACCAAACTATATTTATAAGATGTTTATATTGTAAAAATTATTTTACAACTAAGATATCGAAAAGCTATATCAAAATGGACGTACAATATTACATTTGGAATTTTTAGTTATATATTTGTATTGTATTTTTTTGTATATTTGTACATTCTGCTGGTACAGTCGTTTTCATATGACTGTTTAGTTTAGTTAATTTGTTAGATCCCGTTTGTAAGTTACCTTACTTACGAGCTGAGTCTTGTTCAGCCCAAAGTAAATAAACGATCTTTGTACAGTTTGAGGTTTTTCTTTTTAACTGCCTGAATTTCCCCACCATTTTTATGTTTTTTAAATTCTTACTAGTTAACTATATCCCTGTTTTTTTTCTTTTTTTTATGTTCAGTCGTAATAGTAACTATTGTGGATTAATAGTTTTATAATTGTACTACTTTTGATAATGATAACTACTGTATTGGATGATAACTGTCGTCATCTAATTAATTTCAAATATTTTAAAAATTATATCAATTTAAACGTCATGTTTTCCATGTTTCTGTAGGTAAACATGTTAGGTCTATTATTACTATAATGTGGGATATAAATAAACTAAAATAGCACCCATCAAAAATATAAAGCAAAGAATTATAATAGCTGGTTCATTTTAGTAAGTTGTATATATACAGTTGAAAGAATAAACTATTGCAATCTACTACGTTTTTACAAAGAGTATTCTTTGAAAAAATACGCAAACAAAACAGCTGTAATTACATTTTTAAGAAGATCTAGTGGAACACCCTTGATGTATTTTTAAAAAGTAATAAATAGATTTATGTGAAATATTCATTAAAATACAAATTTAATATTAATATCCCTCTGGGGTACTTTCCTGTTAAAGGGAACATTCATTATTATCGATTATTTTCTCTCGATATATCGATATTAACAAATTGAAACATATCAGCTGACAACTACGATAAATATTGTTCAGTATCAACAAACAATAATGAAATGAAACTGTTCTAAAAAAATAACCTAACATAACTAACCAAACTTGCTGTGTAACATTCCATGTTTAACTTGCCTTTTCTGTTATCAAAAGGAATTTTTAAATAGTACAACAAGTTTGGTTAGTTATGTTAGGTTAGCTTAGAACAGTTTCATTTCTTAATCCAATAGACTATTTTAGCCTAAACAATATCAGTTGTCAATATGTAATGGATCGGTAAACAAAAATATCGATATATCGAGAAAAAAATAATCGATAATAATGAATGTTCCCTTTAACAGGAAAGTACCAACTCTGGCATTATGTTTCAAATAGGCAACACAGGCCAAGTAAACCCACTAAAACATCCATCACATTAAACATGAAGGGTGATAATTGTACTGGCAATACTCATGTTAATAATTATATAATTGAATCCTATATCGGTGAATTTGACTTGCATTGGCATCCAAGGGTAGTCTTGCGGTTGACTGGGGTCTGTATGTAATCTCTGAGATATTGAATTACACATGATTACTACAGGGACTGCGATTGTGAATATAGTGAATAGCACCATGGATTACGCATACCTCAAATAGATTTATCCCATAGAGCATACAATATTCATTTATCCATGTGGATCACCTGAACACAATTTAAGATATGAATTTGTCCAGTTAAAGCTTACTATTTGCTTATTGGTTGGTACTCGACCAACTTAAAAACTGATTTCAACCAATATACAAATCTATTAGTAAGCTTTTGTTAAGCATTTTGTTTTACAACCTTGAGTATAACACGAATTGTAAAATATATCTTGAAATAAGAGGGAAACATTTTAAGACATCAGCGTACTCAAACGCAACTGGACTTTAAACACTCATCAAAATAGTATCAGATTTTACCTTTAGGATATGGGGTCTACTTACTTGTAATAATAAAAGTCATTTCTTGCACCAACCAATAGTATTTCTGGTTTACAATTTTAACTAAGGGTGACAATTTCTGTATCAAGCACTAAAATACTCGCAGCATAAAAGTGTTAACCTTATGCCTTATGACACAGAAAACGTACTAATAGTAGTACGTTTTCTGTGCTTATGAGCATAATACAAATAACGGCGAAGGAAGTACTGAAAAAGACGAAATTGGATTGTCTTTTTATGTAGGTCAATGATATTCTCTACCATATAACATCATTCTGTGGGATATTGTGTTGAATATAAAGCATCTGGGATGAATACTTATTTTAAGTTGCAGATACGTATATTCCAGATGGTCCTCCATAGTCCATAGTAGTATAGGTCAGGGCGTTTGGTAAACAATTTAATTTTAAAAATCACTGTACAGTATGCTTATTTTCTCATTTAGAAAAAAACTTATAACTATTTACCTAATAATTTAGTTGCGGTCACAAAAACAGTAGTTATTCATCAAGTGCTCATTACAAGGAGTGCGATTTATTTATAAAATCTTTGCTATACTGTACTTACATTCAGAAATTAAAATGATCCATAACAGAATAGATTGACTCGTTATTTTATACGAACATAGTTTTTGCCTGTGTAATAATGAACTATATTTTTCCTCGTACTGCCATTATGATTTTCTACTTAGCTTTTGACGGATATCTAAGCAAGTTTATCACATTTTTATACTTTGTTACCCAAACAAATTAAATCCAATTTGTCTCCTCAGTCTAATATCAAATATGCGACAACGTAAGAATAAACAAGTAAAGTCAGCAGCCTACAGCATGTTCCTGGCGACATGGATCACAATGGCGTGATTGTGTAGGCTTTGTGGACAGACGGTATTGTGTCATTGTTGTGTATTGTGCGAAGTTAAATTGTTGCGTCAAACATCAGCCTCAACTCCCAGCTATTGTTGAGGACAATTAGTAGATGTACCTTAACCAATTGTATCGTTTGGGGTTTAGTTTAAAGAAATTTTTGATTCTGAGAATGTTCTCCTTGCTTGCGGAACCTTGCCCTTTGTTTTCTAGATAGTTGGATTTGCATTGCAGCTTTAGTGGGGTCCGAACCACCGGAGCTAAAAGCCATGGGTGATTGACGTGGTTTGAAATCGGAACTCTAGGCAGAATATCTGTGATTTGACCACTAAAGCACTAGACCATTACTACGTTTCGACTGTCTTATAAAGACTGTTTATTTACAAAAAGAATTAAATTAGTCAACGCTAGTATCTTACGGGCACTGGGGGACGAGCTGGTCTAGTGGAAGAGCGCAGGACTTCGGTCCCTGAGTAATGTCCGAAGTTATGTGAAAACAAACCCGGGCTAGAAGCTAGAACGATTGCAGTAAACAAAATGTTGCCCATTCTGTTTCGATTTAATTGACAGTTGACGTGGATTACGGAAAACTGCATTTAAAAAAGCACATCTAACGTTGGCTTCAATTAGAATCTATTAACTGTAAACAATGACAACAACTTTATCGTGGAAATAGAATATTGAGTCACCGTATAGCATCCAATAGTTGAAGACTACAGAGTTTCGTGATTATTTGGAGATGATGGTACAAAGACGCCCAATTTTCTCATATGAGATCACAGTTGTGGTCGACCTTGGTTGCTATCGAGGATCTCGATTACTCTTGTTATACTCGTGTTTACTTTTCCTCAGCTCTAATATGTAATCTATCAATCTATCATCGCCGCTAATGGTAGACTCGTCATTACATCCGAGTGTCCTTGGAGGGAAATGAACCTCGCTCGTCTAATGAAGAGACATCGGCCAATCTTGGACGACGCTAGTACAGGATGTTTCAAAGACTTTACATCGTAGAAAGTAGCTATCTGTCTTACTTTGCCAATGAGAATGTTAAGGAAAATCATCAGATGATTATTCTTACTCTTGATTAGTCTTCTTTGCTATTAGAGTTTTCTGTTTTTCTACATCATTGGTCTTCTCTTCCAGCTTCCTTTTGAAAGAAAACAGTACAAAATCTGTTGTTGGTTGTTACATACAATTCAACATCGACCTTGTGTTCAGTAGCAATAAATTGATTGATAGCCTAATGACGAATTTCCTTAGGGTCCGGAGTCTTTAAAAGCAGGACAGTACAGCTTTCAGGCGGGGACACACTTGTCATGCACCCTTCCGATCCGACTCCGATCATACTGTGGTACGACTGTCGGAGAGGGGAATGGTACTTAACATTGAACGCGGCTGTTTACACCTCTCCGACACGCGTCACGTCATACTCCGATCCTACTCCGATTTTGACTCCGATCACGCACCGACACTGCAGTCTATTCGTTTGTCGGATGCAGAATGGGTTGTTTCTTAAAAATCACCTTTATTCTTAAGATTTAAGAATAATGGTTTAAGTTAAATATATGCCGATGCTTGATGTGAAATCTGTGCGTGCATACCTTCAATTTGAGACCTCGATCATGAAAATCGGACGGGTAGAAGAGCCAATCGACCTCGAGAGAGAAAATCCAATGTGCTTAATATAAAAGATGGACTCTTAAGTAAACCACCTAACTTTCTTTCCATACAGAATGAACCCAAATTCTTCGTTTTCCACTGCCCTTCAGAGATGTCTGACTTTCTTCCTCTTCATCTAGACAAACCGCCATCATGGCTGAATCTCTAAGTCCTAAGTTTTTGAACATGTTAACCACCTTCTGCACGTAGTTTACAAATCAGACTGGCAAGTGTTGATTGACCGGTGGAGAAAATCTGAGATGGGTCGGAATCGTGTATGACATGTGTGTTCACCCCCTCCGATCCCGCACCGATCCTTCTGGAATCCCGCAAATCGGATCGTAGTAGGATCGGAAGAGTGTATGACAAGTGTGTCCCCACCTTTCCTCAAACGATCCTCAGACAGCTGTCCAGCAGTAAGCAAACGTTTCATTACAATGTTGTTTTGTAATTAAATCATTCATTTTTTGTTTTAGTTAATTAAGTCTTATATGCAGACACAATTTTTGGTGCCCTGATATTAAGTAACTTGTGCCAAATGTTTTTCTGGCACTTGGTAAATATTTCACCTTATTCGTCTTTGTCACTTAAAATTTAATGTGAACCTTTAGTGCTCCTTACAAACATTCGGTAACACTCTCTATCACTTTACGAATATTCCTCAGATATAAAACCTCTCAATTTCTTTTCAACCTTTTGGTTATTTCCACAGAAACTACAATCTCCATAAGCAACATTATTATAGTACTACAATCACCGGCTTATCCTTTTCTATTGATGATAGAAAATAAATGATTCTTTTCTAACCTATTCAGAAGTGGTTTACATGAAAATAATTTGTTGTAAACATTTGATCCGCATT